TCTTCTGTCTACTTGTTTGCCTCCTCTTGAATGGGGCATGCTTGTGGTGACACCACCAGAGACAAAAATATATGGACACTGGGCGAGCGGAAGGAGAGCCGCACGAATTGTGGTGGATTGTCCTGACGAAAGCGACGCGGAGGCAATGTGCGCTTGGATGAAGCGTGATCAGCCCGTGCAGCAGCAAGCGGAATGCTGGGGCGAGGTGAGGGGCCAAATGGATGCAGCGGGACCGCTTCTTCGCGACATCTTTGGTAAGCGTCATTGTACTGCACGGATTGAGAAGTGTCACAGCGTTGGGGCCGGGACGAACTCCTCGAGAAGCAGGTGTTACTTTGGTTTTGGAATATCCAAAACATGGGATGATAATACGGCGCTCGAATGTGTTGCGAAGATTGTCCGAGTACGGGGAGAGCGCAATGGTGAGTCGCCTTTTAATGCACCGATATCTGCCCACCTCGGAAGCAAAATATTATGCAGTTTGGCGAAGTTAATGCGGCTGAATGATTTGATTTTGATCGTATGGAGGCTCAAGGATTATCTCATATCCGAAAACTTTGGGAAGTGCTCCGTGTTTGCGTTTTTGAATGGGGTTTTCTTGGCTGCAATAAGGCGCAAACTGAAGGAGCTGAGGCCACCAACACGACGTCTACCACACCGCTGTGCGCTGGAGGTGTATTCGCAGGAGCGCCCCACCAGGCACTATTTTTTGCCGTCGATGGAACACCGTTACATGAAGATTGATGTAGAGCGCGGGGTGCTTTACATAACGGAGGTCGAAGGCTTTCCGCTGGAGGACGCTTTTTCTTCATGAAGTCCAATCCGAGGACGCTGGTCGGGCTGCGGATGACTACGGCGGGTGTGCATCACACGACAGCCAGCACCGTGGGGCAGTTTACGGAGCATTTGGCGGAATATTTTAATGGTTGGGAGGAGTTATCCCGAGACATGTCGTGGGAGATGATTTATGTGCAGCACGCAGACAGCACGCCGATGAATGACTGGCAGGGATGTGATGTCTTCAATACCAATAGTGTGAGCGAGGAGGAAGACCAGCAAATTGCGACTTTCTGGTACGAAAAGGTGCGCCAGTACCAAGTGTCAATATCATCGGAAGACGCCAGAGGAGACGCAGCTCTCCGAAGTGAGGAATAACCACAGAAATGGGAAAACAAATTAGGGAGTGAAGGGAGTGTTTGATTTCTGGCAAAAAACATTGGGGCTGTTTTATACATTTGGATGCTTTTCTGTGGATGCGAGGCGTACTGGGAGAATTGCTCCGTTATGGAAGAATCATTGTGTCCGGCGGTATTGCAGCATGACTGCATTTTCCAATTCCATTTATTGTGTTCTAGGGCCCATCATTGACGGAAGCATCTGTAGTGGATGGACGAAGGATAAGTTGTACCGAGGAAATAGTGCACTCAGTGTGGCGGCAGTGGCATTTTGGCATCGCATCATGGTGGATGAGGATCCACCTCTGCGTGTGGCTGGTGGGGCGGGAGCGCGCTCCGTGTGCGTTGTGTGGCGGCTGCGGGGACGCGGCGGTCGTGGGTCACTCGTCCTTGTCCATGGCGGTTGCCTGTTTGCGTTGTGTGCCTTCCTGTTGTGGATGGCCGAACCCTCCCATGCGCGGTCTGGCGGCGTTGTCACTGTGTGTGCGTTGGGCTCCGCCGTGACTCGCCGTGTTGCTGCTCTTTTCGCTGGGCCACGGTCCTCCGTGTCGTTCCTTCCGGATTGTCTCGTGTCCTGCACTTTGTGTGGGTGATGTGCTCCGCACCCCGGTCGCGTGTCTGATGTATGGCTGCTGTTGCTGTCTTCTCCACCTCACGCACGCAGGCACGCTAGGGAGGAAAACAAACGCGAATCGCTACTGTGCACTCCTAAATGACCAACAGCACACACACCGTCCACACATATATATTTGTATGCTCTTACGTGTTGCTGCTGTCAATGCACCCCGCACACACAAACGTCGCCGCGTGACTGGATCCAGCGGAAGGAGGTGGTAAAGAAGGAAGGGATAGTGTGCAGCAGAGGGTTAACATTTCCCGGCGTGTGTTTACTTCCGCGGTGCTGCTCCTCCTCGTTTTGATGATGTGCTGCGGCGTCTGTGGGGGGAGCGGGTAGGTGTGAGGGAGTGAGGGTGAGTGGCTGCCGATCCCGCTTTGCAAATTTGGACTCTCCACACACGTGGTTTCTCTCGACAGCCTCTTGCGGGTTTCAGGCCGTGGAGTGGGAGAGGATATGAAGGGTTTGCTTTGATCAGGAGGAGGATGAGTGGAACAATTCCCTTTTGTGGCCTTTTTGGTGTTGTTGGCAGCAGGTACGAGAAACATAAATGTGAGCAATTATAGGATGAGGTTTTGATGCTGTTCCGTGTATACTGCTCAATTGCCTTCACTTCACAACAAATCCGCTGTGCGATTTGGTGCGGTTCCGGCCGATGAGGGGAAGGCGATGGTGTCACTGGCGTGGTTGCTTCTGCGCGTCTTTGTGTCGGTGGTTGTGCTGTGGCGTGGGTTGTCTGTGACCGGATTCCTCTGCGTGCCACTGTGTTTGGTTACTGTTGTTGCTGCCTTTTCCTTTTCTGACCGTGCAGTTAGAGATAATTAGGATTGATCAGCACAACTATCGTTTCAAGGTGTTAGGAATTAATTGCAGCAGTAGGATTATTAGTAGTAGTGGGATAGCGATCTGGCGGAATTGTTTATCTGGATTTGCCATCCGTAGGAAGGGATTTATTAGGCAGGAGGTACGGTCGACGGTGCGAGTGCGACACGCCACGACAGCCCTTTTGGTACCTGTCTGGGTCGGTGGATGTGGTCTGCGGTGGGTGCGTGTCCGCGCAGCCGGCATCGTGTGCAGTGCAGGGCCATTGCGGCTGTGCGTGCGGCGCTGCTTGTTGTGTTGGCTCTGGTTGCGGCGGCGGCGTGGATGCCCGCGGTGCAAGCGGTGGTGCTGCGACTGCGGGGCGGTACGGTGGACAGAGCCATCACGGTTGGCCGCGCCGTGGGCACGGTGCTGATGGACGGCGTGTCCATCACGAACGGCGTGGCTGTGGTGTTCGACGTTTCGGCGATGCTCCCCGGCGCGCTGCTTATCGAATTGAGGAACTGCGTGTGCGACGGCGGTGCGCAGATCTACGTGCGGGGCCACAGCGGCGAGCCGGCGAGTGACCGGAGCCTGGAGGTGAGCGTGAGCGGGCTGTCAGGCGGCTACTGCTCGCTCGTGTTTGTGCACAACCTGCCGGCACACACGAACGTGACGGTCCGCGACTCGACGATTGTGACGCCGGGACCGATGCGCTACTCGCAGCTGAGCGGGCTGACGGACGCGGTGGCGTCGCCGCTTGTGCTGCACGCGATTTCGCTGTTGCAGACGCAGCTGCGTGTGAGCAACACTGTGCTGAGGTCGTTGCAGGCGGGCGGGTCGGCGGTGCACGTTGGCGGCGGTGTGGACCTGCTGTCGAGCGCGGTGGTGCTTGACGGCGTGTTGCTGGAGGCGTCGGGCGGTCCGACCGTGTCCGCGATTCATGTGTCATCCTCGTCGCGTCTCAGCTTGCGGAGCCACTCGGTGTTCTCCGTGACGAACGTCTCGGTTGTGAGCAGCGGCGGCGGCATTGTGCTTGGCGAGCGCCTCGCGGTGTTTGACTCGGTGCTGCGCTTAGTTGGAGTTGAGGGGTCTGTTGCGTCGTCGCTGGTGTGCTGCGGCGGTGGGACGGTGGGTGCCGGCGGGTGGATGGAGCTGCACGACGTGTGGGCGGTGGGCGAGGCGTCGTCTTTGGCGTCGCTGTCGGGGGTGACGCTGGGCGGCGGTGCCGTGTCGATTGCGCGCTGCGCTGCCACCGGCGCGACGCTTGTCTCCGGGCTGACGATCACGAGCGGCGTCGTGTCTGTGCAGTGCAACCGTGCCGGCGGCCGGGTGCTGCAGAGCAGCGGCGACTATCGCATGGCCGGCCTGCCCTCCGTGAGCGTGGTGCCGTGCGACGGTTGTGCGGCTGCGCTGGCGTGCTTTGATGCGCTGACGGCGTCGTTCACCAACTGCGTGTGCAGCTGCCGTGCCGGCGGCGTGGGCGAGGCGTGTCTGCCGTTCGACGTGCCGCCTGCGAGGGCCGGCGGTGGTGGCGGTGCGCAGGGCTGCGTGAGTGGCGTGACGCTGACGGAGTCCGTGACGGTTGGCGGTGGGCGTGCGACGGCGTGCTTCGACTCGGTGGTGTTCAGCGGGCCGATCACTGTGGCGGTGGACCTGCGCTTGATGGATGCGTTCGCTGACGCGCTGAACGTGACGCTGCGCCACTGCGTGCTTGCGGGCGGTGCGCAGCTGCGGATTGGTGGCCTCAGCGAGAGCACGGCACGCCTGATGCCGCACGCCCTCGTCAACATGACGAATGTGACGTCGCTGGAGGGCACGATCGTGCTGCATGGCGCGATGCCGCTGCACTCGAGAGTGCTGCTGGCGAACTCAACGCTGCGCGCGACGGTTGGCGGGTCGCAGTACGTGCCGACGACCCCTGGCTTTGAGGGATTTCGGTGCGGCCCCGCGCTTGTCCTGGACGGCGTCCGGCTTCTGTCGACGCGGTTTGTCATGACGCGGTCGACGCTGGTGTGTGGCGGGGGCTTGTGCACTGCGATTTTTGTGGAGCACGGCCTCGGTGCGAAACTGTCCAGCGCCTTCTACATGGACAACTGCGTCGTTGTGTCGCAGACGCACGTGATGTACGCCCTTGCATCGGACCTGCGTGTCACCGGCGGCTCTGTGCTCTCTTTACAGAACAGCTCGTGGAGTGCGCCGAGCAGAGAATACTACGAAGGTGCGTGTGTGCTTAAGGATGTTGTTGTGGACAGCGGCAGCGTGCTGCAGATTGTTTCCAGCACTTTTCGTTCCGGTTTTGCCATGC